CTTTGATTCGAAATACCGAAGTACAGAATTCTTTTCAAAGATAATTAATTCGAGATCTCGATTTGCAATTTGAGATCTCTAACTACACAATCCGATACTTCTAATCAACATATCAGTCATGATTTTGACAGACAATTTTCTCTACTTTCCTCATATACACATACGTATATCTGAGTACGTGTATATAAGCTTGAAAAATCGAATCCTTTGTATCAATTTATACGTTCTATATATGTAATTTCAGCAACCAGTCTATCCAAAACTTTTTTAAAATAATTAAGTCAACGTGTATTTACCTTAATTACACAGGACCCATACATTTACTTTTATTATAATGGCTTCTAATTATTCAATATCAACTGAACACAAAAATCTAGGACTTTTTTTTTACAGATATCAGTAAAAGCCTAAGGATTTTTGCCATATCAAATATGTACAGATAAATGAAAATAAAATGGGGGGGGGACATTCTGGGGGAACGGATTCCGTTATTTGAGGGAACAAATTGTTAATCTGATAGAATGAATAATCAATTCATGGGAACGATTTACATTCCGAGGGAGCAAATCGTTTAAACAGAAAGAAACAGATTACAATCCGAGACAACAGATTGTGTAATTTGAGAGAACGAATTGGTAATTCGTTTTAACAGATTGCCATTCCAAAATAACGGATTGTATAATACGAGATTTCTGTTTACTTTGACTTCTTCGGATAATCTTCGTGTCCTTTCGTGGCTCTTGTATGTATTAGCATAACTGACTTTTCTCACTATCTAGGAGATTGAACGTCTGATGTGCTTAACATGAGAGAATGTACGATGTAGGTCGGGCAGTTCTAAATATCTAAATGATTAAAATTTTGTATTCACTTTGTTATTCCTGCAAGGTCTGTGTGTAAAGTGTTACACGGGAATGAAAAATAAACTTTCTTTTGGAACTATGGGCGTTTTTATTTGAAAACAGAAAAAAAATGGTGTGACACCGACGTATAATAATTAATCGCAACACAGGAAAAGCTGAGGTATTCCAAGGAATTGAACGATCTTTGATTGTCTGTGTTCCCCTCTCTGATATAGCTCATTGTAATGGACAACGTACGTGATCTGTACGTCATACCATATCATGAAACTGGTCAAGTAATAATAATTACATATAGAACTAAATTTGTTTGTTAAGCTGCATAATCAATTTTCATTGATGCACAGAGAACAGTTAGTCTGCATCATTAATATCAACAATAAGTTCCATTGAAGATAACACTCTATGTTGTTACTTGGTGGACACTCATATATAAGCTCATAAGCGTGCAATTCTTTTGGAAGTTTACCAACAACTAAAAACTGGCCATAAGGTGCAATATTGTTGTTCCCTTGATCTTTGATATACTCCTATTATCGCATGGAATACAGTTTACATTCTATATTTCCCCGTACATTTTGAAGTTTTGAACTGAATGTAAGCATGGTTCTATGACACCCACAATTCCGTGTATGTCACTCAAAGGTAGTACGGAGTTTTATTCAATTGTTTTAAAAATGTTGTTTTGAATTTCAATTGCACAGTTTTTCAATTCTTTGCATGTTAGATGTACATATGTTAGATTGTTAAAAAAATGTTCTAATTTCTTTTATTAGCACATAATAAACTAGGTACTTGTTACTAGGTTTTTATTTTTAGTTTTTTTGTTGTAGAGATAATCTCCTGAAAGCATGACAAGCCAAACCATTGTACACGGCATTCCAAAATGATAACTAGTGCTAATTGTAACGGGGACCGTTACAGATGTTCCCCAAACGCTCCCCAACTCCCTTTTATAGTCATATTCCCTGTAAGCGTAATTAAATAAGACAAACTCTATGCATTGGAGACTTTAACAATGTTTACCCAGAAGTGTACCATGTTCATTCAAATTTTATCATTGCACACTTGCGCATGTGAATGCATGTGCGTAATGATCATATCATATTGTCTACACAATCTATATATTTTAATATGCTAAATATTTAAGTATTTGATTCAAAAGTATATAAGAAAACGCTCATTTAATTGTATTTTTGGTTTTACCCATTTCACGTGCACTAACGTGCATACATGAGCATGGTGACCATACCTACTTGTAGAAGTTCATTACATCTATCTATGCTCTAAATCCCACCCCGTTTGGTTGAAAATCAAGGGAGTTATAGCTGTTTAAAGTGTCAGCCAATCAGATTGCAGCGCACGTACAAGCACATGTATGCATGTGCATGCTGACCATACCTTGTTGTAGAAGTCCATTATATATATCTATGTTCCAAATCCCATCCAGTTTGATTGAAACCAAGGGAGTTACAGCTGTTTAAAATTTCAGCCAATCAGATTGCAGCGCACGTACACGCACGTGTATGCATGTGCATGGTGACCATATCTTCTTGTAGAAGTCCATGATATCTATCCATGTTCCAAATCTCATCCTGTTTGGTTGAAAACCAAGGGAGCTATTTAAAGCATGAGCCAATCAGATTGCAGCGCACGTGCATGCACGCGTTTTCAAGATAATTGCTATATATCTTATTGTAGGACATCCTAATACATGCCTATATTTAAAATTTCAAAGGATTTCGTCAAAAAACAAGAAAGATATTGAGACTTCAGTTTCAGCCAATCAGAGCGAAGCGCACGTGCATGCGCGTGAGATCTTGCTTTTTTGACCATTTCATCTCGTCTATGCTTTTAATATATACTTCTAATATGAGTTTTAAAGCATATCATCAATAATTTAAATAGTTACGTCTGTATCAATTATATTGGACATTTCTCGTGTTGCACGTGCGAGCTCTTCCAAGCACACGTGCATGCACATGCTTTCATGATATTTGTTTTATTACGGGCTGTAGATCTCCCTAAGGTATGTCTATATTCAAAATTTCAAATGATTTTATCAAAAAACAAGAAAGATATTGAGACTTTAGTTTCAGCCAATCAGAGCGAAGCGCACGTGCTTGCACGTGCGATCTTGCTATTTTGACCATGTCATCTTATCTTGTGCATACTACTCATATATCCTTACATTATGAGTTTCAAAAAATTTCGTCTAAAAATAGAAAAGTTACGGTTATATCCATTATATATTGGTCATTTCAAGTTTTGCACGTGCGCGCTCTTGCAAGCACGTGCGCGCAAAATGACCTTGATTCCGCAAATCTACATAATATGCCTACTTACCCTAAAAAGGTTTCCCCTTAATCGGATGTGTACTTTACAAGATCATTCGCGGACAAAATTTTCCCGAGAAGAAAAATAATAATAATAATAATAATAAGAAACAGAGTAAAACAATATGTTCCCCAACTTCGTTGGGGAACATAATAACTTACTCTTATTTTACAATAATGTCGATAGGAATAAAAATACTATACAAAAGAATACGTAAATGAAAAATATAGATTTGAAGAAGAGTATTCAAGATCAAAAGTTCATAAAACAAACAAAACAGGAGCAGATCAAACACAGACCACCAAAACATCAGAGGTGCCATGGAGAAGAAAGCATCTCCTACCGACTGGTCTCATCCGCAGTGTGCTCCTTGTCATAATCAGAAAACAACCGAAAAATACATCGTCAATTCAGTTTATAGATAATGGACTAACAATTAAAATACCTACACAGAGGTTGTAAACTGTCCCTATTTTTTTCTAGTTATATGAAACTACAAGTGGTTATGATAAATCTTTAAATGCAGATTACTATAACATGTAAAAATAAAAAAAAAAAATCATCCAATGTTTACATTCCAAACAATTACATATGGATTACAAGAGAAATTCAGGATTCCAAAAAAGTAGACTAGTGTTATATATGTACATATTTAAGAAATAAAACATCATTTTTAGAGTTGCATTGGGGTATGACATGAAGTCGGTCACGTGATCAAATTCTATAACGCCCGAAGGGCGTTATAGTAAATTTGATCACGTACCGACTTCATGTCATACCCCAATGCAACTCTAAAAATGATATTTTATTTCTTATATTTATATTTTCTTTTTTTGTGTGTCTCTACCGACGTTCCATACTTGAAGCAAAATGACCTAAATAAAGACCGGACACCAAAAAATATAGTTCGCTTAATTTTTTTTATAGTAAATTATAGAGAACAATAACTAAGACAATGTCAAAATCAAATATTTAATTTTTGAGTAACCTTGATGATAATATAGGTGTGAAACAAAAGTTATTTACATATTTAAGTCAACTCAATTGAATACAAGAAGTGCGGCGTAAACTGTTTCCGGGTTGTGATCCGGTCATCAGTTCAAATTTGGAGAAAAACGTTTGGACTTCACTTGAAGTTAAAAACACAGTTGTTGAACACAGATTTAGATAAAAACTCGGATGATCGGAGAGAATTGACAGACGACGGGTGTATCATGTTGACATTTAGCTCTTGGTCATGATTTTCCACGTTTTGGAAAGGTACGATGGCATGTTTATCGCCAGGACTCGTGGCTGTGGCATTCCCACCGACAGATTTAGGCCTGCATGTAGTCGTAGTGGAGGTAGGTTGCTTTCTCTGATCTTTAGGGTGCGTAAGGGAAGATAAACATGAACTAACAGAGAGTTTTTGTTCACTGGATAGATTTTTATTGTAGGATTGCAAAGAAGACTCACAGCGGTGGCCTGACATATACATAATTTGTCGAGCCTCGAAACCAGCCTCGCTCATGGCCGTAATGGCAGTTGCCCGCAGACAATGGGGTGTGTAAACAATGGAACATTTAGCTGATTTTGAGATGTCCGCCATAAATCCACTGAATGTCCTCTTACTGAGGGGTTTTGCTTCATACCAGACTGCTAAGCTAGAAGCTGAGAAAGTAAGAGCCTCTTTTATGCACGCGTTGAATAGAAAAGATGCATCTTTGTCTGTTTTATCCAGCAGCAGACGCAACATTTTTACTGGGCATGTCTCACTTTCAGGTGACGAATACATCCTCTTGTCACTCGGAGCTTCCTCTGATTCTATGCCACCCTGAAATTTTTTTGCTGCGTTTCCTGCCTCAATGTGACATACTCGAGACCATTCTCGTCATAGTGGAACTGAAAGGAATCACGACGTAACTGATGATGGAACTCCAAGCCGCGCGTTACAAAGTGGATGGATAGGTGATACCAAACACACTGTCGAAGGACAAGTGGAGAAAAAGTGGCTGCGCGCAGATATGAGGATATCTTCTGAAGATCTTGAAAATTTATAATGTCTTTGTGTTTAGTGGGTCTCGAAGCGCCAATTTTGGTCATAGTTTTCAACATTCCGTCTAATGTCTGATTGGTGGACTTGAACTCCTTATCTCGCACAATGTCTATGGAACGACCTATGTCCTGCAGATGGCGGTTTATTGCTGATCTGATATTTTTCAGTGTGTTTTTGTGGTAATAACCACTTTGAGCATCCATCATATATTTTGATTTATTTGATTCTTTCGGTTTTGCTTCGCAGAAGAATTTTCTTAGTTTGTTGGCAAGTTCATCAATTTCTACTTTTTCAAAATCCAATGGGGTACCAAAAACCTCCACATGCCAATCTAAAATCATGTATAATTTTTTTTTTAATTGGATTGAAGAGTTTTTATATTACATTAAATGTTTTCATTTTTCCCCTATGGATATTAATGTGATTTTATTTTTTTTCACCTTGAATTTCTTTTTTTTATTTAGGGATTTCAAAGCTTTTTTTCCACTTGGTATTTTTTTAAAATATGTTTTGATTTTAAAATTATTCTAAAAATTAATTTTGATTTTTTTATGGTATTATAGTTGCAAATTAGCATTTTTATGATCATGTTTAAGTTCTAATTTATTTTTTAATTGATTAATTTTTTGGGTTTTGTTTATATTTTATGTTTTACCTTGAAACAGTTGAATTCCCCACTTTGTGTTTCTTTTAGTAGATTTAGAATGTCTGGCATCCTGAAACTGCTTTAACTCAACTTCTGACATAGATCTAAATCTCTTTGCTTCAGGTTTGGACTCCGGGGCACAGACAGGGGTCTGCGGTGGAGGAAGGCCCTCCATATCTGATTTCTTGAGCTCGTAAATCATTTCAGTATCTTGTTCAGTTGCAGGTACCAGAGAGGAGAGATCCAATGAAATTAAAATATCTTCATCATAAAGTAGATATAGCTCTGCATCCATTTCTTTACTTAGTAGGCCTACATCAAAGTCACCGTATGTCTTTGCCATTGCAGAAGATGCAGTTTAGTTGCAGACGGTATTTAAATTAAAACATCAGGAATGGTATGCTAAATGTTTCATACATTTTATTAATTGATGAAATTCTTGTCTACTTACAAAATAAACTCTATTTAAATCATTTTAGGCTTGTTTTTATTTTTATTATTGGTGTAATGATGTTGCGTAAGCAAGAAATCAGGTGAAAGTAGTGCCATTGACCCAAATACTTCTGAAGCGGTGAATTGTATTCATACGCAAGAAAAGTTTGATCATGTGACCGACTTCATGTCATGCAAAATTGAATGTCATTTCTTTAGTATATGTCATATAAGGAAAGACATTGGCAAATGTAAATATTGAAGGTTAGTGAAAAAAGACTGCCTGTAAAAAGAACATAAAATGAATAACACATAAATAAGAGTAAAGGAATAAGAGAGAAAAAAAAATATATCGATAATATAGTGCAAATAATAACATTCATTTTTCAATGGATAGTGTTTTGATGGTGTTTGTAAGAGACGACATTCTTTGAGCCTTTACCTTCTTAATATGTATAATAATGCTTGCACAAATAGCAAGCAACTCCGTAAAATACCAAGAATTTGAAATGCATTTATAATGGTTTCACATCGGTCAATTAAATCTTCCATGATAGTTACAATCTTTATTAATGTGAAAGCTGACACGAGTGAAGAATAGATCAAAATCATTACAGAACATGCCATGACGTTGACACTGTTAGTCTTATTTTGCTCTGTAGGGAAGGGCCCTCAATAAATATCTAATTATAGCAAGGAACACAATGTGTGCAGTTGTACAAGAAATAAGTGTATCATCTAAGAAATATTTGGTTAAAAACTCGAATATACTTTTGTTATAATAATGTTGAATTCCAGCATAAATAAATAAATTAAAAATTTCAGTACAAAAGTACTAGTGATATTTAGAGTATCTGGAAAAGCAATGCATCCGATGCAAGAAATGTTGGAGTATGTAACCGTTTATCGCATAAGATTTTGAAGATAGTAACAATATTTCCTACGAAGCCCGTTATCCGATAATCAATATCAGGATCGCGATGATTCTCAAAACCATCTAAGGTCCTAGGTATAATTATTGAATCAAACAAAAAGAATGATGCGGTGAAATTGTTTAAAGAATTGTTGATGAGAAAGTGGTCGTCAGAGACGTTACTTGATTTGCTGTTGAAAGAACTTTCTAAGCAGAGTATGTATACCAAAAATGAAGGCTCAGTCTTCTATGGTTCAAAAGTAATGGTGATTGTTCAAAAAGGCCATTTGTAGCATATAGATTACAGTAAAGGTCACAAGGTCATTGATCTTGGTGCTATTTGGAAGAATTTAATTAGTGAATTATGTATACGAAAAATGAAGAGTATATCTCCTACAGTTAAAAGATATGGCGAAAGTTCGAAAAGACCTATTTTAAGCATAGAGGTCACAGTCAAGGCCACAAGGTCATTGACCTTGGTGTCATTTGTTTGAGCTTAATTAGTGACGTGCTTTATAAGTGGAAAACGCATACCAAATATGAAGTCTCTATCTCCTATGGTTCGAAGGTTTTGCAAAAGTTCGAAGAAGCAATTTCAGCGTGTAGGTCGCACTCAAGGTAACAAAGTCATTGACTTTGGTGTTTTTTAAGAACTTTGATAGTGGGGTATGCATACCAAATATAAAGTCTGTATATCTCAATGTTCAAAAGTTATGTTGAAGTTTAAAGTTGACAACAGACAGACAAACAGTCAAAGAGACAGAGAAATAAACAGAAAAAACAAACAGGATTAAAATAATATACACCTCGAATCCATCGTCGATCCTATACTTTGTTTTAACTGAAAGAAGATAACAATATTCATTAATGTAAATCATGTTTCAAGAATGGTAATTCATTATGCCACATGATTCATCATATCTCCACAACTCCTCTTTTACCACAAAATGAAATTTAATGAAACTATTTAGGAAACTAGTTACATTAAGTTTCGATGATACTTAAAGACGTCATTGTATTTTACATCTCGGAAAGAACATCAACAAAACTACTCAGGCGAAAACTCTCAATAATAAACAGAATTTCGAAATGGTCATAATTTTTTTTGCACAAATGCAGTCTGTTCAATTGTTAATCTATTACTGAATTACATTGATTTTTTTTTATTTTAGGGCTTTGAAATGAAAGACTTTTACCTAGTTAAATTAATGTCTATCTGAATAATATAAAAATACAGAGGGGCATTCTTCTTAAAATACTACATAATAAATTAGTTTAAGAACTATTTTATTCAAAAAATACAAAAAAAGTATACAGTGAATGTGGATTAACATAGTAAATTGCAATGATAAACTTCACCATTTTGATACATAACATGATCAGATTACTTTTGAAAAGTTTTTCCATTGTACAACAATGTAGACATTCAGATGCAACTTTTACAGTCTGTGTAGTTCTTTTGACTTTAATTTTTCACAAAACAGAATACGGAAATTTTAAAACCTAGGATGGCGTCAGTTCTCTAAAATGAATACAGGGCCATGAAATGAATTATGCAATCGGAAAAACAACAGCATAAAGATCTATTCAAATATAAGATATTAGAAAACACTTTTCAAGTGTTGTAAAATAAAGAAGCATTTAAATGAACTGCAAATACAAGATAGTGTAGAAGAAAAATATCACGTCTGTTTTTCGGGTAGTTTCTATTTAAGTCAACCACACTATGGCACAACTGTTATTTGTTTCTTCTGTGTATTGTTCCTTCCTCCTTTTTTATCTTTTAACACCAAGGAAAGATGGATCATATTTTTCTTATAAATACGTTTATGCATTATTTTTTTAGATACATTTTTCCTAGAAAAATGATACCTTAAAAATACATAACATACTTTTTTTTTTTTACAAAAATCAGTAGAATTGCTCAAAGATTTATATTTGAAGTGGTAACTTCAATAATCTTTACCAAGTATAGTAGGAAATTTTCAAATGATTTGTCATAAGGTTAAAGAGTTGTGAACAAATGAGTATAAAAATATATAGAAAGCAAAATATATCCTCATATCTATCCACCAAGGAAAACCTTCGATTTTTTTTCTCAGGGATTCATTATATATGTCTTTCAAATCAAAATTAGACAAAAAATATATATCAATTTGTACGTCAATTTTTTGTTTGTGTTAAGTATCCTTAGCTTCCAGCAGAATCATGAATATTGAAATAACCTACTTCTTGGATGCTGTGCTGCAATTAAATGTATAGAAACAGAGATTCTATTTTTTATCAAAAAAATCAGCAAGGATGGACATGTTTTCTTTATGTTTATTTAGTTTATTTATTGTCTTTTCAAACTGAGTTCTACCGTTCACAGCCTAGTTGTAGCTATATAGAGTGTTCGCCTCGAGATCGGGAGGCCCGCGTTCGATTCTCGTTCCCGGCGCCGCGTCAACAAGCGCTCGGCATAAGAACTGAAAGTCACGGGTCTTTCGGATATGACCTTAAAAACGTAGGTCCCGTGTCAAGGTACATGTAGGCGATGGCACGATAAAGAACCCTTACTGCTCAATGGCCCTGAGTGCCGAGTATAGGTCTAAATTTGAAGCCCTTCACCGGCAAACGGTGACATCTCAATATGATAAATGCGTCGTTTATAATAAAGAAGCTCGACCAGAGACGTCTAAAACGTTGTTATTGACAAGTAAAAAGTCGCTTGAAGCGAACGATGTCACTTTAAAGTAGGTTAATTATTGATTTATGAACAAAATACGAGTTTGAAGTGGGGGTGCCTTAAAATGAGTTATAAGACTCTGACGTCATATGACATCGTGTGCATGTTGCATTATCAAAGTAAGGCCTAAATAGGATATGATTTTAAATTAAGAACCGTTTTATTGACTATTTTTCTGCAACAAAACCATTAAATCAAGGAAGTTTATTATTCATTTTTTTTTTTTGTTCTTATTCTCGCGAGAACGTTTCTTTAGCGTTGTGTACTAAGCGATGCATTGTGGGTCAAAATTATTCCGTCAAAAAATTCTATCGAATGAATGTGCAGTAGTCCGAATTTTCTCTTCGCCCAGGCGTTGCCATTAGAGCTCGCAGTTACGAGCGTCGCTTCGCGACGCTCGCTGCGCTCGCTATAAGAAGGGGGTATCCCGTATACGAAAGAAGTGTCTGTGTACTACACATACAGATATATTTCTTTTTTGCTCTGTTGTTCAAGCTTAGTTGTTTCTTTTCAATACATGAAGACTTCTGCCTGTGCACATGTAAATATCACACAAAATATCACAGTCATGAAGTTTAACCCATGAATAAAAAGACATAAATGTCTCATTTCTCTGCTTAATTTACTCTAGAATATAGTGTCTGCCATCGTCGCCGTCAACAATTTTTGAATTTGTTATGTACACTGCTTTGAAAAAAAAATCACCTTTCTCAAAATTTTTGTGCGTGGCGATGGCAAAGTGTGTTTTCTAAAAGAACTTCTACTGGAAAATGATGTCTTCTGTAACATTTTAAGCTGTAACATTTTAAGGAAAACGCAGAAGTTAATGAGGTCACATTTATCATTTACAAGGTCATATAGGAAAAACGATCTATTTATTCTTACTGCATGGAATTTATCTGATTCAGAAAGAATGAATTTTGATTTCTTAAACCACTTTCATACTTTAGAAAATATACTGGACATTATTTGTATTGAAACTACCTTCTTCTATAACGTCTTTTGTACTGAGCATCTGCTAGTTTCATTGTAATAGATCACCTGATTGGGTGTCTCATACCATGACACGATCCTGATAAATTAATAGTTACACACTTACATATAGAACTAAATAAATGGTCACGTGCATAGTCAGATTTCATTGATACACAGATTGAAGATATAACTATTCTGTCGCTTTCAAGTTCTTTGACTTGACGGACACTCATACACTCTCAGTTCTTCTAGGAGTTTACCTTCAATCACAATTCTGGTTGTAAGGCGTTATACT